ATAGTTTTAACAAATCACTAAATTTGAAATACAATCTGGCTGGATATCAATTTACCTCTCATTCCTTATCTTGCAGAATTATATGGATACAGTTCTACTAAATGTAGTTCTTCCCATTTTTTTTTGGGGGGGGGGTTTCAAGACAGGGTTTCTCTGTGGCTTTGGAGGCTGTCCTGGAGCTAGCTCTTGTAGTCAGGCTGGTCTCGAACTCACAGAGATCCACCTGCTTTTGCCTCCCAAGTGCTAGTTTTTCCCTTTTAATTGGAATTGTTGAGTAGTCTGATGCTAAAGATGGGTAAACAGCATTTATAACCCCCATTCCTTTCACATTTATAGGATTCTTTCTTTATACTTGAAGCAAAAACAAAACAATCAGGATATATGCATGTACCTTTATGCACATCTTAGGCAGTCTCTTTTTCTTATGGAATTATATTCTTTGCTTTGAAGAAATATTTATTGATCCTTCAAATACTGCTTGCCTCTACTGTTTTGCTTTTTCTAAAGTATTTTCTGGGGTACTTTTTAGGAGATACTTTAATCGGTACTTCCTAAACACACTTCATTTTTAAACTATTCATGCTCACTTCAAAACTTCAAGCTAGTGAATTTATACACCATCAACCATTTTTTTAGAAGATTTTATTTATTTATTAAGTATACAATATTCTGCTTCCATGTATATCTGCACACCAGAGGAGGGCACCAGATCTCATAGTGGATGGTTGTGAGCCACCATTTGGTTGCTGGGAATTGAACTCAGGACTTCTGGAAGAGCAGTCAGTGCTCTTAACCTGTGAGCCATCTCTCCAGCCCCCATCAACCATTTTTTAAAAAAGTAATTTAATTCTCAACAGTACCTTATTTCCCTGATAGTTAAATCTCATTCTTGTAATTCTTGAATTGCCACCAGTTCGAAAACAGGTTATTTGCTGAGAATGGCCCCATTCAAACATTCTGACACTCCCATCTTGAGCACCTGTCAGATCTGCATTATAAGATGACATAAATTACATATTTATTTTAAAAAGTTTTGAGAAAATTTGTTTCTTAACCTAGCTTGGAATTATTTGTCAAAGAAGTACCTAGCAAATATATCAGTCCATTTATATAAATTTATCTTTTAAGTTTCATTTCATACAAGAAAAGTCTGATGATGTACTTTCATTTGACTGAGACTATGTCTTCAAACAAAACAGTAGACATATTAATATTAGATCACTATAAATTATGATTCTCTCAAAATTATTTTAATGTCTTAAGAGCCTAAAATAAATGTTTATGATAAACATAATAATTAATGCATTATTAAAGAATCAATATCAGTTATTCTTTTAAGGATTAAAATTACGCATTTTTCTAAGTAAAAGTCATACTATAAATGGTTTTGAATACCCATACTAAGGGAGAAATTTCATTTCTAAATTATTTTGATGGACCACTTATTTCAATATATACTAATGTCTGATAATACTTATTAAATATGCAATAATAATATATAACTCATTGGTTTTGAGAATAAATGAGATCATTTACATACAGCACTCAGGAATATAACAAGTGGCACCCATATTATATTAATGATAACTGTCAAAATTAGTGTAGAATAGGGGTAATGAAAATCAGTATGTATAAAATACCCAGCAAGCTGCTAATTATGTTATTAGTTGAGTTTTACTAATTCTTTATCAAATATGTAATATAAATGAATTCAGGCTGTTTTGAAATGTTATGCCATGTACTGGGCAGATGTGAGAGGACAGCAGCACAATGTCTTGAGACTCTTTTCCTTAATTATAAACAAGATAGCTGTTTAGAAACTATTTATATATAATATCCCAATATTATCTATAGAGCTAAAAACACTAATTTGGAAGCCTAAACATAACTCATTATAACCAGTAAAACAAAAACTAAAGTTTCAGCTCTAATTAGTAACATGACTTCAATGAATCAAATTTCTTTCTGTCTTGCTTCCACAAACACCTTTATATTTTTCTCTTGCTACCTTAGTGTGATGGTTAATCTTTACTGCCTGAGTTTAGATTCACCTTGGAGATCATGAGGCACATATTTGGGTATGTTTGTGAGAATAGTTCTAGAGAGGATTAACTGAGGGAGGAAAGACGTACCACAAATATTGAAGGTGACATTTTCATGGGCTAGAGAACCAGATGGAATAGAAGGACAAACTAGCTCAAAGTGACTGCATATCCTATTTCTATGGTTCTTGGCTGGCTCCCACTACCCAGATTTCTGCTCAATACTCTGAAATCATGAGCCAAAATAAAGGATTCCTCTCTTCTCGGCTGGTTTTGTCAACTATTTGGTGACAGCATTGAGAAGCCAATCAATATCTTGGTAAAGCCATAAACCCCATGTAGGCTGATTTCCTAAACTTAATGGTGAATGTTCAAACAGCCTTCTGAAGGTTCTGTGTCAGAATATGGACACAGGAGAGACTACTTTATGGAGACCCTCAAGAACAACAAGCAATCATACACAGGTAAGAGAGAGCCCTGAATTCATGGCTTCTTGCTGTACATTTACAGATTACCACAAAAACATCACACTCAGATTTCAGCTCTACATATGACTGTGTCCAGTTTCAGGGAGACACAGGATTGTGTGTTCTCCTAAACTCAAGTCTAGATAATTTAAATTATAGTAGCTACAATGGGGACACTTCAACTTCTACACAAATTACCTATCTATCTCTAGGACACAGTGGATAAAAAGGGATTCTCAATGCCTCAGAAACAGTGGAATGCATCTTCTGACTGACAAACATAAGTTACTGAAAAACTAGATGTACCATACTTTAGAATTCATGTAACTAGATACAACAACACAGCTTTAAAGTATTAATGTGATTTTATGTGGCCAAAAAAACCAACTTGCAATAAAACTGACTAGCACCATGTACACAGTTTACACAGTTCTCTTACATGGCTGCCTTACAGCTGAATAAGGACTGCCTATCACTTCTGGAACCCAAGATATTTGGGGATCTTGGGAAGACAGGAACCCAACTCTAGGGAGACAAGCTGTTCTCAGGGCTCTTCTGGCCTCACCTTATATATCTCTTCTTCTATGTTACTTTATAATAACCTTTACAATAAAGTGTCAAACATAAGTAAAATTGAATTTTGTGAATTATTCTAGCACATTAGTCAGACTAAAGGTAGGAGTTAGGAGAAGCCCCTTTATAGCCAGATGAATAAGGGAAGTAAACTAAGTGTGATTGGCATCTGAGGCAGAGGACAAGTGTGTTGAACTGATCTCTTGACATGTGGCTTCTGGTTGTAACTTCAGGTAGAGAGTGTCATGAGTTGAACTGAATAGCACACTAAGTTTACCATCAGAGTGGGATACCTGCCTGGGATAGGGGGGAAAAAAAATCACACAATTGCCATAGGAAGTGTTGTTGAGAATAACAGAATGTGTGCTCCCGTTTAGCAAATTATAAAAGTATTATCTCAATTTCTAATGGGCTTAGTAAAACTCAAAAAGTAGTGTGTTAGTTCACTGGCACACTGGTACATTGCCTGGCTAGCCCAAGCAAGGGCCTGGCTTTCAGTCCTAGCAGGGGCTTGTAAGTTTTTCTTCAAAAGGTCTGAAGGAAAGAAAAAACATACTGAATTACCTGAGTTTCAAGGTTAAGGTTTTATTTTGTTATATTTGCTTATATAATATGTACTTATTCTTGAGAATTAAATTACTTTCTGGAGAATATGTTCAGGACAAAGAAGATATACTGGGAAAAATGATTAATTTAATTTGCTTTAGTTTTCCAAGTCTCTTTCTTGTCAATTATGGAAATTCTCTCCACAGAGAAAATATCTCATAAGACAGTGGTTAATTTTTTTTTCTTACCTAAAACTAACAAAAATAAGTCTACTAATAGCCTTGAAAATTGGGGATATCTTTATGAGCCCATGGCTAATAATATTCATTGCCAACTATTAATCTGGTAGAATATATGCAATAGAGCTGATAGCATATCAGGTCCCTTCAATATTTCAGGAAAGTTACAAACTTTACTATAGAGGGTAAGAACATTTTTTTAAGCAATGCTAAGTATATTGCTTGCCAATAATATTACTTAAAGCTTGAACATAAAATACAGCTTTTTTTTTTTTTTTTTTTTTTTTTGAGAAATGGCCTCATTCTGTAGACTCTGAACTTAACATCATGCTGCCTCAGCCTCCCAAGTACTTAAATGTCAGGTATGTGCCACCTCCATGCTGTGATAAATGCATATTGACATCTTATTATATAGGCCTTGAATACTACTTTAGTTCATTCATTTTTTTAAAAAAAAGGTTTTAATTTTTATTTATGTGTATATCTGTGTGTCAAGTGTATGCTATGTGTGTCAGTACACACAAAGGCCAGAAGAGGGTGTCAGGTCCTTGGAAGCCTAATTTGATTAGGTAAGTCTAGGAGTAGCAGGAATTCTTAACTACTGAGCCATTTCTTTCTTTCTTTCTGTTTTTTTTTTTAAAGATTTTATTTATTTATTATGTATACAACATTCTACTTCTATGTATATCTGCACACCAGAAGAGGGCACCATATCTCATAGTGGATGGTTGTGAGCCACCAGGTGGTTGCTGGGAATTGAACTCAGGACCTCTGGAAGAGCAGTCTCTTAACCTCTGAGCCATCTCTCCAGCCCCCCTACTGAGCCATTTCTTCAGCTCCAGATACCTCTAAAGTTGTATGAACTCGATGTTAAGGAAGCCAATATAATATTTTATATCAATTTGTATTTAGAATGAGAAGTCATTCTCTTCATTTAAAAAAAAAAACATTTCGAACCTTTTTGTTTCACAAAGTATGCAATTTAGATAACAGATGCTTACAGCACACACTGTAATACAGCAGAAAAGAACACAGAACTCAGTTAATTTTATTTTATTGGACAACTGTCTATGAGAAAAAGCGATTAAAATTTTTATACATTACTAATTTGGGAAGACATGAATATCTCAATATACTCATACAATTGTTAAGGAAATGACATAAAGTATTTTTTAAAACCAAGGATAATCATATACTAACATATATTTCAACCACCAGTTAACCAATACTTCCAATATATTTGTTTTTAATTTTCACTCTTATTTCAGCTACAGCACAAGAAATGAGATTTCTAGAAAGAACTGAAAAAATTAATCTCCTACTTTAAACTAAGTATTTACTAATATCCCCCTTTATGACTTCTATTAATGTGATAAAATTAGTATAACATAAACTCATCTATGAAAAGTAAGGTAAGTAGGATAAATACTATCTTTCGATTGAACCTAAAAGCTTCCCCTGAATTCCTTATAGAATTTATATAAAAAATATAAAAATAAGAGAATCATTGTTTATCATTGTCAACTTACAGTAAGGAAGAGTTGGATGTGATGTCATCCTTCTGACATTATTAATGGCTTTCTTTGTCATCTGGTAAAAGAAGAAATATTTTATAGTAACAATAAGAAAAAGGACTAGAATTAGAACTTTAAGTTGTAGGGCTGGGTATATAGTTCAGTCATAGAGCAGTCTAATTATAAGTTAGGTTCTGACTTAAATCTTAAGCAAAACAAAGAAACACACACACCACATAGTGCCAACCCACCAGTTGGAATACCTCCAGTAAATAACTCCTCCCCCTTTTTGGCTAAAACAAGAGAAACTTAAGAATCAGTCTTCTCAATTTAGTCTTCTTTCTTGCCAATTGATTCATTTTAAATCTTTTTTTTTTAATGACTTAACTAGTCTGTCAAATAAGAGTAAAATAACTATGTAAAATAGTTGTGAATCAATTTTGAGGTAAACTTTTTAGTTGTCCTTTTGGATTTTAAATTGTTTAACTAGCCTAAAGTTGTGGAAATGTGTGGAGTTGGCAAGGGCAGCAAGAAAGTAGGCCATCAGAGCTGGTAAGTGACAGGAATGGAAAAGATCCCTGTAGATGCATTCAATTCCAGAACAAAAGAAGTCGCTGCTAACAAGTACTAGTACTGATTACTCAGTAACAAGATAGGATTAACAAAATGTTTTATTAATTCTTCAGACAACAAAAATTGATATATGACCATTACTTTAGACCTCACATCTAAGTCCCTTTACTTTGTTTTGGAGTAGGATTGGGACAGAGACAGAACTTTTTTTAAAAAAAAGATTTAATTTAATTTTATGTGCATTGGTGTTTTGTCTGTATTCACGTCTGTGGGAAGATGTTGGATCCACTGGTACTGTAGTTACAGACAATTGTGAGCCACATGTGGGTACTGGAAATTGAACTCAGGTCCTCTGGAAGAGCAGCTAAGTGTCCTTAACCACCGAGCCTTTTCAACAGCCTCAGAGACAGAATTTTGTTGTATAGCCCAGGCTCACCTATAACTTGAAACCCTCCTGCCTCAGCCTCCGGAGTGCTTGTCTGCCATGTCTACCAAATCCTATGTTTTTAGTTAAATATTTGTCTAAAGGTTCTTATTCTTTCTTTTACCTTTTTGTTTGTGACCAAAATATCACAGGAAACAATAAAACACAGATTAAAAATTTTTCTGAAAGCATGTAACAGAAAATAAAGAAACCATTAGATATTTGAAAAGATTAATATAGGGGCTGGAGAGATGGCTCAGTGGTTAAGAGCACTGGCTGAAGTTCCAGAGATGCTGAGTTCAATTCCCAGCAACCACATGATGGGTCACAATCATCTGTAATGAAAAGATTAATATAAAAAGAACCACCTTGTTTTACTAGTATCTTTTTCTTGAAAGAGGAATGAGGGTAATCATGAATCAGAATGACTTCCAATTAAAAAGTCATCAAGATGGCAACTCCTTACTGCTGAAAACAATACCTACACCACTCACTGAACATAGATTAGTTGACAGCTGTTGCACACATAGAGCCTTCACCGATATTGACTAGTGTTCATGGTACTGGAAAGTACTCTGCACACTACCAGAAGAGAAAGGTAAACAAAACTTCAACCCAGCCACAAACCCTGGTATTTACAATGGTGACCTGCCTGCAAGACGGTCAAGAATCTGAGACTAGATAGGCCCCAAACCTAGGGAAAACTAAATACTACTGTCAAATGAACATAGCAAGAAAATGACTCCTAATGACATTCTGCTATAATCATAGATCAGTTCCTTGTTCCTTGCTCAGCCATCATCAGACAAGTTTTTTCTTGCAGCAGATGGGAACAAATACAGAGACCCACAACTGGATAATGTGCAGAGGGTCAGAGATCACAGAACACTCAGTCCTAAATGGAGATGTCACCATCAAATAATAGTTTCTTTTATACAATATATTGATTACATTTTTCCTCCCTTCATGGCTCAGGGAACTCTACTGAAGAGGAGGCAGAAAAGATTGTTAATAGCCTGGAAGGATGGAATACAGCATAGAAACAAGGAATACAGCATAGACACAACAGGACTGACACAAATATGAAATCACAGAGACTGTGGTAGCATGCATAAGGCCTGCATAAGTCTAAGCCAGAGGGTGTCCCAGTCCTGAGAGGAAGTAGATACAAACCCCAATCCCCAACCCAAGCTACCTTCCGTTGATGACTATATGCAAAAGAAAACTTAGTTCTCTCTAACGGAGTTTCAGTGGGTACACAAAACTGTACTTCAGGGCAGGTCCTATGCCCAGTAGTAGATAGCCAACACAAGCCTAACTCAGTCGTGTTTTTGGAGGTTTTTGTCTTATAATGCTTTGTCAGAACAGTTTTTTTTTTAACATCTCAGACCTTATATATTGTAGTTTTTGAATTTATTTCTATAGATTTTCTACATGTGCAAATATGTGTGTCTCAGTGTCTATGTTTTTTGTACTTTCTCCTTTGACTCTTTTTTCCTGTTTATTTATTTTGCCCAATTCTGGTTTGTTTACTTTTATTTCATTATGAAGATAATGATGCTTGTTTGTTTTCTAATCAGAGAAAGAAAGGGTGTGAACTTGGTTGAGTGTGTGGAGAATTGGGGAGGACCTGGGGGAGGGAAAAATGTAATCAGAATATATTGTATGAAAGAAAAATCTATTTTCAATTAAAAATGAAAAAAATCAAGAAAACAAATCAATCTATTTAAAAATAGGGTATGGAACTAAAGAGAGTCCCAAAAGATGAAACACAAACACTAAAAATAGTTCAACATTCTTAGTCATCGAGGAAATGCAAATTAAAACTACTTGAGATTTCATTTTACCCAAATCAATGACCAAGATTAATAAGACAAGTAAAAGCACACTCTGAAAGGATTCAAGGAAAAGGAACACTTTATTTACTGCTGGTGGGAGTGCAAACCGGTACAACAATATAGAAATCAGTGTGGAGGTTCCTGAGAAGTCTGGGAACTAATCTATACCAAGATCCAGGTGACACCATTGATCTATTCATAATAACCACAAACTGGAAACAGATTAGATGTCTATCAACTAATGAATGTATACTGAAAATATGGTATTTTTCAGAATTGACTATTAATCAGCTGTTTAAGAAAATGGTACTATGAAATTTGCAGGCAAATCAAGCTAGAAATAATCATCCTGGGTGAGATAACCCAGATCTCAAAAGACAAATATTGCATGTTTTAGCTTATATATGGATGTTAGCCTTTAAGCTTTAGATATGCACTTCAATTACAATAATCACAGAGGGTAGGTAGCTCATAAGGACCAAGGGGGACGAGTTTTTCCAAGGAAAAGGAAATAGAATATAGTGCAATAAAGAGATAAAGGAGAAACTAGAATAGAATTAAATCTCAAGAGGGGTGAGAGAGAAGGGTAAAGGAGAGAATATGGGGAGGGACAACCAACAGTAAAGGCTTTTGAAAAGTCATGTGGAAACCTACTACTATAGAAGCTTCCTAAAATCTACACATATATGAAAGGAATTTAAGTGGAGTCACCATACAGTAGGAGATACAATGCCTCAACTAGAGATCTTATGTCACCAAGTAAATTCCCCAGTTCCAGAAATGAGTTACATCTTGTAGACATGTTAGCCAAACATATTCCATAGACTCTCTTAATATCACAGATAATTGTCAAATCTACTGATTATCTTAAGTCCCTACTGCTGAAGACAACACTTACTTGTGTTACTGAATATGGATAAACTGAACTGGTGCCCAATTAGAAGCTTCACTACTACTGACTACTTATGAGGTACTTTGCATGATACTGGAAGATAAAAGTAATCATGAACCTCATACAGGTACATACCATGTGACCTACAACAGTGACCTGCCTGCAACATATATTGGTGCACTATTAAGGGAGTAACTGGGCACTTTTCGGTTGGAATTGAAAACCTAAGACTAAATGGTTTATGTGCCTAAGGAAAAAATTGCTACCATTATTCTTTGGAAGGAACACAGCAATAAAATGACTACTAATGACATATCACTATACCCATAGATCAGTGCCTTGCTTAAACTTCTTGCTGCAGATGGGAATTAACACAGAAACCCACAACTGTACAATGTGTAGAGACTAAGACACTGTGGAGTACTCAGTCCTGAATGGGATATATTCATCAAACTTCTACCCATTCAAAGCTCAAAGATTTATGTTAAAAAGAGATAGAAAGACTTTAAGAGCCACAGGTAGTGGATAATCCCAAGGAAACCACATGTTCTAGACACCATAGTGCTGATACACATATGAACTCACAAACACTCTTACAGCAAGCCTAAGACCTGCACAAGCTCAAACCAGACAAAAAACAGCAGGGAGAAAGAGAAGTTGACACAAAGTCCTACCTCTAGCCAAGAAGCTATTTGCAATTACTATTTGTTAGTAAAGGGAAAACCAGTTTTCTCCATTGGACTGCCACTGGATCTAACAACCACACTCTAGGGCAGGTCCCATGCCCAGGTGTAGCTGGCCAACATACAACAAACTCCATGTATTTTGTGGGCTTTTTGCTTTGTTTTGGTTATTTTTTTTCTTGTTTTGACTCTCTTTTAAGAGAGAGAGAGAGCATGAAATTGGGTGGGTAGGGAAATAGGGATGATCAAGAAGGAGCTGAAGAAGCAGAAGAATATGCTAAAAATACAATGAAATAAAATTATTTTTAAAAAAGCCCTAAAATTTGTACAGGAAGAATATACAACTGTAATAGGAATTCCATAGTCGAATTTCTAAATTATAAGGCTTTGATGTATAAAGAACTATTTTGAACACTACATATGTCCAGCACTATTCTCTATAGAGCACATCCACATATAAGAAGGCAAATCCTCCAAAAGCTTCCATTTACAGCAAAAGGACAATAAATAATGCACTAATAATTTCAACAACTAATGTATCTTACAAAGATAATAAGGTGAGATAATAAATTAGAGGTATAGTGAATGGGGTGGATGTCTTCTGTAAGAACTACAGAGAAATCTCCTGAGCACTCAAGTTGAATGCTTACACAGAGGTAGGAGTATTTTAAGGAGAAGGCAAGGCAAAGTCTTTAATGTGACAGCAATGGATGAGTCTAAGGGATAGGAAGCCAGTATAAATAGAGCAGAAGAGTGATGTGGGATGCCCCTCTGTATGCTGTGAATATGTTTTTATTATCATTGGTTAATAAAGAAGTTGATTTAGTCAATAGCTAGGCAGAATGGAGCCAGGCAGGAAATCCAAGCAAAGATATATGGGAAAAGAAGGCAAAGTTGGGGAGCCACCAGCAGCCACCGGGGAAGCAAGATGTGAGGTAACAAGCCATGAGCCTTGTGGTAAAATATAAATGAATAGAAATGGGTTAATTTAGTTATAAGAGCTAGTTACTAATAAGCCTGAGCTAATATGCCAAATAGTTTATAATTAATATTAAGCTTCAGTGTGGTTATTCAGGAACTGGTGGGTGGGAGAGAAACTTCCAGCTACAAGAGAGTAAGTGATATTTTAGAAACACCTGCTGCTTTATATAGAAAAGAGGGAACAAGAGTTTGCAGCAAGAAAGGAGTTATAACTGTACTGTTTTACCTAAGGCTCGAGCTGAAAATAAAATTTATTATTTATCTATATTTCCCTTAAGTTTCTCTTTAAAATATAATGTCACTAAGGCTCACAAAATTCAAGATTTGTAATCTTACACTGATCTAGTTATTTCATTTTAAATTACCAATTTCTACCTTCAAATTCAATTTAATCCTTAAAAATCAAGCACTTGAAAACAGTAAACTAAGTGATTTGAATCACTTGACCTTCTGAATTAAACTCCGTGTATCTGATCAACGAGTCATGAGGAATAAGAACAGCTGCCACAAGTGAAGCAAAGCAATATTAGGCTGTATTATCTATAAAGGAACTGCATATTAAAAGATTTAAAAAAGCTTATTAATGATGTCTGAGTCTTCACTTGAACAATTACCTTTATCAATTGCTTAAAAAAAAAAGGCTGGCAAGGAAACAGAATGTTTGATAGGACTTATGGCATTAAGAACCAAAATAATAGAAATAAAGGGAAAAAATCCCTAGCAACTAGAAATTAATGAAAGAAATATAGGAGTTTCTTTGCTTCTGTGTATCAGATTTTATACCCTAATCAATAATGGGAAATCATAGAAGAGTAAATATAGGTAGCTTCTTACACAATCAGTGCTCAAATACATGCTGTTCCACTATAAACTTATTTTGCAAATCTTTTTTTTTTTCTTAAAAGAATATATTATGTCTCAGCATTACAAAATGCCATACTCAAAATGGATTGTTTTCCATTGATATCTACACTAAAGGATATTATCTAGAACAGGGTCAAGTACAGCTTTTTATAAGAGCTGGGTAAACATCTTGGGTTTCTTGAGTACAGCATGGTTTCTTTTGCAGACAATAAGTTCTGATACTGCAGAGTGAAAGCAGGACCCACAAAAATATAAAAAATTGGCCACAGCTGAGCTACTACAAAACAAAACTTTACCAACAGATATAAAAATCTAACTTTACAATTTTCATGTGCTGCAAAACATTGTGATTTTTTTTTTTCTACATAGAGAAAAATGTAGAACTCAAGAATGGTGTTTGACTGACAAATAAGAGGCCCTGATTTTAAATGTCAACATTGGAAAAAGAAAACAAAAAAAGAAAAAAAGAAAGAACTTAACCTCATTCTTACTATATTAGCTTCATAGTGATGGTTTATATACAGCCTGTAGCTTCAAATAATCATTAATTAAAATGTAGTTCTTTCATTTCTAAAACAAAGTATGTTTTATTTAGGAGATAGGGTCTCTGTGTTTAGCCCTGGCTGTCCAAGAACCTGCTATGCAGACCAGGCTTGCCTCACAGAGACCTGTCTGCCTCTGCCTGTAAAGTGCTGGGATTAGAAGGTATGTCATACCATGATGGGCCAAAATATATTAAAAAACAAAACAAAACAGAACAAAACAAAACAGTAACCCTTTCAAATAAAAACATTATTTTAATTATTGAAACATACAATTCTAGTATATAAGACAACTAAAATTTAAGGAATTAAGAGTTTTTAATCACCTTTTATGTATTAACCTAAAGTGGGGAAAAAAATAGGACAACAAAGCATAAACCTAAGTATCTTTAAGTCTACATACCACAGATGCTCCTCTGCCTGTCTGTGTACTTCCAAGCCATGGCATATTGATTGGAGTGCCAGGGTTGCTGTGCGTGTATGGGGTTGAACCTTGGACAGCTGCTAAATCATCACGAGCATGTATCACCAAGAAGTCTTCTGATCTACAAAGCAACATCAACTACAATAAAAACAGAGCATCAGTTCTTCATTTTTTTTTTTTTCTTTTTCCTTTTTGTTTTTCTGGAGCCTGCCCTGGAACTCACTCTGTAGGCCAGGTAGGCCTTGAACTCGCAGAGATCTGCCTGCCTCTGCTTCCTGAGTGCTGGAATTAAAGGCATGCACCACCACCACCAGGCTCTTCGTTACTTTTTTATATGTGAACGTTTAAACACTTCATATTACCTTCTAAGTTAATTTTCTTCAGCTTTAACTAACAACTTTCGTATCTGGAAAACTTTCATTTTCTTAACGCTAATTCCCTGTAAGAAGGCACTGTCATCCCTTACTTACTTACCTCTAGTCACAGCAATGTTGTGCTCTGCCTACAATTACCAGCACTGCTTTCGAGATCAAGCTGCCTCCTGCATCCAGAAGGCATTTAGTCTCTGAGGAGGCTTTTCACAGTTACAGTTCAGTGGATACAGTCACTCCTATCATATGACTGAATTAGAAACAAAGCATAAGAATACCCTTTAGTTTCTGTTTCTGCATCATCATCCACCCATGTATAGATCTGTGTGGCCAGAATTCCAGAAACATCCAGTTCTTGTACATCATGGCTGGAGGCAATTGCTATGCAATTTCTATTTGCCTGAAAAATAAATCATGTTAACTTTTACATTAAAAAGCCTAAGGGTATTATAGGCTACTTCTGAAGAAAATCCAATAACATGCACAAAAGCATTTCTACCAATTAATATTTTAAATGGACATTTAAAAATGTTTTAATTTTTACTTTTTATGGTGTTTTGCCTGCATGTATGTCTGTGTGAGGGGGTTGGATCCTCAGGAACTACAGTTACAGACAGTTGTGAACCACCAAGTGGGGGCTGGAAATTGAACCCTGGTCCTCTGGAGGGGCAGCTAATTAACCCTTGAACTATCTCTCTAAATAGTTAAATATTTAGTAAAATAATAAGTTTGAGTTCTAAGAATTCTAGTATACCTAACAAAAAGCCAAGTAGAAATGAAAATGCATGTACCACATCATTTCCTCTTTCCAAACAGCCTTTCTACTCTTCTAGATGACTTTGATTGTCCTAACATTTGTACAACAACAACAAAAGAATAGTAGTTGGGTGCAGCAGCTCACACCTGTTGCAGCTACTTAGGAAAATAGCTGGGGTCTTTGAATTCAGTGATCTTAACCCACTGCACATGCAAGACTACCTGTCTTGCTTTTGTCACTCTGCAAGAGTTGGGAGAAAAAACTACTCACTAGCAGCCCAAAGAACTAGTATGAAAAGATTCATTTGATAGTGACTTCTTGTGCTGCTAGATATGAACTATCTGTCCCTAATCAGTGGAACTGGATTCTTGTATTAACAAACAGCATCCAATAAACTAAAAATTAACTTGATAGCCTGAAAAGATACAATCTCAGACCATTCACAATTCCTGATATAGACAACACCCAATGAAACAAATGGGGGAAAGCTCAATCTTAAGGCCATTTTAAAAACATGGAAACGTAAAACAAAAAAGATTATTTGTGAGCTACAAATTTTGGAAGGATGTAAAAATATATCAAATGTAGAGAAATAATTATGCAATGTATTTATACAAATAAACAGCAGATTTCATATATGTGGATGACTATTTCTAGTTACTCATCTTTTTTAAGGGGAAGGAAGATATTCAGGGTGAGGACAGTAATTTTTGTGTGTTTGTGTATATGTACCCCCATGTATGTTGTGTACACACACACACACCATATCACCCAGAGTTATATAGATATTACAACTTGAGAACTGCCTGAGGGGTTAACTGCCATTCTGCCTGGCCTAAGCATAAATAGTCCATGAATGTTTATGGAGGAGATGAAATGATACAGGGAAATATAAGGACATAATGGCTAAAGAAAAGATTAGATAAAATCAAAATGATGGGTATAGAATATGAGAACAAACAAACTACTGGTAAAAGGATTTCTAAGTGTTACAAGACATACATCTACATAGCACTTATTGACAACATGCTAAAGGCTGAAACAGGAGGCTCACTTGAAGGCAAGAAGTTCCACAAATGGCCTTTCTGGCTAATATTGTAAAATTAAAAATAAATGTGTACATATACTATCTTCAAGTATCCTTTAGGTATACATGAAAAACCATAATCCTACCCTTCTATATTTAAAGAAAAAGGAACAATAAGACAGCAGAAACTATGCTGTATGAAATTCAAGTGGGACATGATTCAGACAAACTTCATGTTTGGACTATTATACTGAAGACTACCTCTTCAGCTGGAGCTTACAGATACCTCTAAGGAGGATGTTAAGCAGAAGACTAAAGTAAACTATGAACTAAACACACAAATTGGATTTCTAATACATGCGTTTAAGTTCTTGCAAATAGGATCATGTCTAATAAATTCATACAAGACCTTAGAAAGCCTCTCTGGATTAACTAATGTATTATTTAGTATACATCTTAAAATTACTGCTTGGAATTCAAATACTCAACACTGTTCTCTGCATAGAAATAAAATATTTTATTAGTTGTATTTCCCAAATTATATAATAACAAAACTATATTAACAAATTACATAACAGTTTCATGAAAGAAAATTCTTACTGAGATTATAATTTAAGGAATGGGAAGTAAATTTGGAGGGAGAGTACTTTCACTGAGTAAACTAAGTGAATTCTCCAACACAGAATAATTAGAAGTCACAGAAAAAACATCTATCTACATACTTACTTTATTAACAGCAAAGGCAGTAATGATATCAGATTCCTTATGAATAATTCTTGCTTTACCTCCAGGATATCCCAAGTCTGCCTCTATCTAAATAGAAGAAAGTATAATATTAAAAATTGATACTTTAAAAAATTGCTACTTTATTAATAAAACAAATGGATATATGCAAATTAATAAGCAAGTTTTAAAATACATCAACTCCAAAGGCAGTAGGGTTTATGTTGGTTGTCCCAAAAAGAATTTGATGAGAGGAATTTTTCAATCTTACCTTCATATATAAAAAGACAGTTGATAAAACATATACCTTCTTGAGCTGTTTATCTCCTAAAGCAATACTGAACTAACTTTAAAGGATCAAAACCTATAAACTATCTTGTTTTGTTTGTTTTTCAAGACAGCATTTCTCTGTCACCCCAGTTGTCCTGGTACTCAAGCTATAGACCAGGCTGGTCTTGAACTCGGAGATCTTCCTCTGTGTGCTATGACTAAAAGCAGGCACTACCACTCACCACTCAGCTGACATTTTAACTACTGAAGTAAAGCTTTTCCAAGTTTCTGAGTAGTGTAATGATTAATAATACCTGTAAGTGTTACAAGGAAGGTCAAGCGGTAATTAGTTCAGTTTAAGGACCATTCATTGTTGGATATTTTTGGTATTTTGTTTCCACCTCCTAACTACCCACTAAAAAGTCCAAAGGCCATTCTTAGTTCTTACATTAACAACAGTTGGGATCTCACAAGCCAGTTGTAGTTTACTGACTTCTAATCTAAAATAACCTTCCATTTAATAAGGAGAAACTGGAGTCTCAGAAGGGATGGTAACTCACTCAAGCAGTAATTCACTTTAGTAGTTGAATAGATTCAAGTGAATTTACAGGAGGAACAAATATTTGACATTGTGTTTACTCTAGAAAAGGTACACATGTAAGTTTGAATTCAGAAGGGAATACTTATAATATTTACCAAAATCAGTAAGTTGAAAAGCTCAGGCGATTAAAAAAAACATTGCCTAAAACATTATTTCATTTATTTTATCTTTCTTACCTTTAATCTTCTAAAATAGGTTACTAAGAAATGTTTCAAATTTCATTATGAAATACAGAAATCATTATTCTAAAATCAGCATACAATAAATTTATTTTCCACAAAATTTAGATAAAGTATCACTAATGCCTACTTATTGATTAAAAAAATTAATTTTAAAAATGATCTCTAGAGCTGGAGAGATGGTTCAGGGGTTAAGAGCACTGACTTCCAGAGGTCCTAAGTTCAATTCCCAATAACCACATGATGGCTCACAATCATCTATAATGAGATCTGATGCCCTCTTCTGGCCTGCAGGCAAACTTGTAGACAGAACACTCTTTTGATGTCATATGTTAGAATGAAAGGTAACTGAGACTCTCAACTCTGCTGGTGCCAGGCAGTGGTGACTAATGCCTTTAATCCCAGCACTTGAGAGGGAGCAAGTGAATTTCAGTCAGTTTCAAGACAGCCTGTTCTACAAAGCGAGTTCCAGGACAGCCAGGATTGCAACACAGAGAAACCCTGTATTGCTATCTACTCCTAGGCATTTCTTAAGAGAAATAAAAGTCTATATACAAAGACCCTTGGGCATGAATTTTCAAGGCAGCCTTATTTGAAACTGCTCCAAAATGCAATCAGCTCAAATCATTAGGTAACAAACTAAACAGATTATGATACAGCCACACAATATAACCAGTATCAACAATAAGAAGTAATGAACTATCAAAACATACAACTTGGAAGAATCTCAAAATAATTATGCTAAGTAAAAGACACAGGTCAAAATAAAAACCAAAGCCAAGCATGGTAGCTTACGCCTGCAATCTCCAGCACCTGAGAGGCTAAGGCTTGGGGGTGTGAGATCAGCAGATGCTACAGAGTAAGATCCTGGTTGGCCTAGGCTTCAGAATGAGATTCTGTCTTAAATACAACAGCACAAATAAAATAAAATAAAATAAAATAGTAAAATGGCATATGACTTCATCTACATATAACTGTTGAAAAAGAGTATGAATCTACATATTTGTACCTACCTACTTGGAGAAGAAAAGGGGAGAGATGAGAAGGAAGGAAAAGGGAACGATTAAAATGTGAGTTGATGTGTATAACCAGCATCCTGAAGGTAGTGACAGTTAAACTAACCAAGCTAGATACTTTAAATGTGTGCAGTTATTTAAGTTCACAAAGTAGTTTCTTTAGTTTTTAAAGGCACTATACAAAGTTTCCTTATAACATTTTCATACATTTGTGTATACTTTGTCATAATTTGTCTCCCTTTCCTACTACCCTCCTGCCCATCCTTTGTTAGTTTCTTTCCTTTCTGCATGCCACAGATACTCCCATTACTCTTTGTTATATAGTTATTTCCTCAAACAGATGCATTCCATCCTAGAAAAATGGAGGGAGACTCTTGAGACTTTGCAGATACCACAAAGTTTAGAAGGCTCAGGAAGCTAATGAAATTTACAAGGCTCAAGAAACTAAAGAGTTACAAGATCCCTCCCTCAAGGTTTTAAAAGCAGTAAAGAATTGCTAGGCCAATGAAGGCTGTTTGTGGGGATGTTTATAAATTGGGTAGGGAATTCCAGGGATGCAGGTTTTGTGAGAGTCACCCAGGTGAGTTGCACTCTTCAGTGATGTAGCTGCTTTTGAGTCACACATGCTCATGCAAATAACCCCAATAAACTCACAGTTTCACTAAGGCAGACTTGAGTGGGACTGTTTCACTGGTCTGTCATGGTACCCGCCCTCAGGTGAATAGTTTTTCCAGTCACATAAATACCCTCTTTTATCTCTCTTTCTTCTCACTTAACAAGTTTGCCTCTTCTCTCATAATCCCTTTTCTGGTTTCATGACCTATGTAATACACACACACACACACACACACACACACACACACACACACTCACTCACTCATATAAAGAAACATGATTTAATCTGAGTCTGGCTTTCTTTGCTCAAAATAATGATTTCCAGTTTCATCCATTTTCCTGCAAGTATCATCGTTTAATTTTTTCTTCATGGATGAATAAAATTTCATTGTGCACATGTACCGCATTATCAATTAATCTTTTGACAGATACCTAGGCTGGCTCTATTTCCTAGCTACTGTGACTAGTGCAACAACAACCAAGGATGTGCTATCTCTGTGGTGTGTTGACTTAAGGGTACTTTGGGGAATGCCCAGAAGTGGTATTCCTGAGTCAAGGGAACTTCTATTTTTAGTTTTCTGAGGAATCTCCATATTGACTTCCATAGTGGCTGTACCCATTTATATTCCCATAGTAGGATGTAGGGCTCCTCTCTGCTTATATCCTTGCCAGATTTTTTTATGCTTTATATTCTTGATGATGGCCATTCTAACTGGGTTGAAATGGAATCTCAAAGAAACTTTAATTTGTATTCAGTCAATTAGGATACAGAATAATTTTTCAAATATTTTTGACCATTTGGATTTTTTCCAGAAAGACGTTTTCTAAAATGTATAGCAGAATCTTACTTGAAAATACTGGCTGAAATACCTATGAAGGTAGCCAAATAATAACTATATTTTCAGAAAGCATGGACAAATCTTTAGACATGTCAAGAAAATGATTATTTTATCTAAAGTATCAAAAGACAAATATTTGAAAAATAATTCCCAATGATAAAGAGATGTTATTTAGTATAATTATCCAAGAAAACAAAAAAATGAATTGTATTCTCTCAAAACAAAAATCATTAGAAAATTCAAAGTATGCTTATTTTACCAGTTTAGATATAATATACACTTGACATCAAATCAATGTTTCATTAATTGCAAAGAAGTAGTCTATTTCACTGATTCCTTTGGGAAACAATGAGAGAAAGATTTCTCCCTAAAACTTACTGATGTGAGATTGTCTTAAAATTTGTTAGTTATACAGACTAGGATGGATGAGTTAAATATCAATATAAGAGTCATAGCTAAATGTTATTGACACAGAAGAATCTAGGAGTTATTTATGCTTGTACAAATTATGCTTGTACAAATTCTTACCTACTCTGTTTTAATTCTCAAGAACTTAGGTACTTACTATACATTAAGATATATATTATATGCTATTCTTCAGAGAAAAATAAATACTATATAATAGTAATTGCTGTAATTACTATTGAATTTCAAAGGTGATACTTGCAAACACAGAACAATAGTAATACTTTATACCTCTTGATGTAATTACATTCCCTAAAAACTTGAGAGGTATTTACTCAGAAAAATCTGTAGCCAACACAGGAAGCATTCAACTCCCTTTAAAACTGCATTCTTTTAAATACCAAAAGAGGACCAATTTTTATGAGTGCAACATTTAAGTTGTTATGATGAAACAGTATGTTGAGGGGAAAAGTTTTGTTACAATGAAGCGAAGTCCAGTTGAAAATTGAAATGTAAATTTCTTTTTGTTCTGGTTAAGAATGCAATTTTTAATTTCAGTTGAATGGCATTATGTACCTTATTGATGTTTGGCTCCTCCATCATAGAATTTTTGATGGTTTCATTGTTGTCCTCTAATGACTTCATTAAGAAAGAATAATCACATGTCAAAGAATAAAGATGAAATGTAACACGTACGACACTGAAGTATTTTATTAACTTATAATTGTAATCAAGTTACTAAAAAGAATATGGAAATGATATCTTTTTGTTTGTTTGCTTGCTTTTGTTTTTTTGAGACAGGGTTTCTCTGTGTATCTTTGTAGACCATCACCGCCCGGTGAAATGATATCTTCTTAAATTTCATATATTTAAAAAGGAATGTATGTTTGAAAGTGCATGGTTAGAAAGTAGGAAATTTTGAAAGCTCGAAATTGCTCATCTACCACTATAAAGTTGTTGTTGTTGTTTTGTTTTTCGAGACAGGGTTTCTCTGTGGCTTTGGAGGCTGTCCTGGAACTAGCTCTTGTAGATCAGGCTGGCCTTGAACTCACAGAGATCTGCCTGCCTCTGCCTTTCTAAGTGCTGGGATTAAAGGCATGCACCACTAACACCCAGTGTTATACATAATTATTTTAATTATTTGTTTTGTAATGGTGACATTAAAAAGAAAATTTTTTATCTAAGGCACCTTATATGTGTAAATTCAGAGCTTCTGGAGTCAACTAAAAATCAAATTATTGTCTTAAACACTACTGTCTTACTTCCATGACATATAATTCCCCCAGAAATCCTCTTTAGTAGAAAATTCCAATTTCTATCTTTCAAATTCTCTCCTACTGATGTTGCCAGGAATAGTCAATAACCTGCATGGAGGCATACAGACTTACTCAAAGGTGTCAAAGAGAAAAGTTGACTCAGAACTTTTAAGTTCTCAGAAAATTAAATACAACTAATAAAGTGCAAAGATGTTAACTGTTAAATCCAACTTTTGTTGAGATTGTCTTTGATAGTCTACCTACAATCATGTATAATTAATTTCCAGATAAATACAACAACTTTGGAAAAAATTTTAGTTTTAAAAAATAACAAACTACACTACAAGGGAAAAGAAAAACCCCGAGATTCAGGAGAGTTTTAAGATACGATAAAGTCAGATAAAAAAAAATGTTAAGCTTTCATTTTCAATCATATTAAGGAATAAACAATGGCAGCATCAAAATACCCATCATGCCATACACCAACCTTCTGTAACTAGATTCACAATGGCTTTAATGATCACTTTATTAAAACTACAGAAGAGGCATTTTTATGAACCCAAAACAGGCTATTCAATTCCTAATAAATAATTTTCAACCAACTCGATAAATTTAAGACTTTATTTAACTCTATCCAACCTAGTTTTTATATTCCTCTATTAAAATTTCATTAAGAGTATCATGGTCAGTAATAAAACTACAAGGCAATAACAAATTCTTAGTGCTAGGCCCCAAATGGGAAGTGAGTAGGGATCCTGCATTCCATAAAACCTTTTCTTTCAAAAAAGGGGATCATTTAAGAGCTGATTTCTTCTTAGCCCACACTTGAATAAAAATCTGTGTCTGTAGCAGAGAATGGGAAAATGGAGACAATGGAGACAACCGTCAGAGTTCTTGACGTTTATCTTTCCTCCCATCCTTCCCCTTCATCACCCCAGAAAAGATCTAGCTAACCTATCTAAATTACACTTGTGCTAGCTTTTGTACTATGGCTTTCTATAAATTATAAAATGGCCACAGGTGGCATGGGGGGGATGTTTAGCCACCCCTGCCTCCAGTGTAAATAAATTTATTTTCCTGTATAAAACAAAAACCCACCACAATAAAGTTCTCAGAACTTTCAATGATTGTACCAGTGTTCATTATAAAAACAATGCAAAGAGGTAAACAGTCATTTTGCAGATTAAAATATTCAGAAAAATATTTAGCTGGGCATTGTTGGCGCACGCCTTTAATCCCAGCACATGGGAGGCAGAGACAGGCGAATCTCTGTCAGCCTAGTGTACCGAGCGAGTACCAGGATAGGCTCCAAAGCTACACAGAGAAACCTTGTCTTGAAAAACCAAAAAAAAAAAAAAATTAGCAAACTGATGCTATGAAAACTATTAGTCAATACTTATGTTCATGCTCTTGATTTAAAACAGCAATAAAAGTAGTTTGAGTTTGTCATTAATGTGTCATGAAGCTCCAAACAAAGCTAAGACTAAAACTCTGTTCCACATTCCTCCTTTTGAGTACACACAGAAAACAGCACTGACTACTTACTTGTGGCCTTGGTACAAAATGAAATTATAGGACATTTGTTAAAAATTTAAAAATGTCAATATTGTAGTAGACAAACATTAAACCAACTGTAACTCCACATCAATAAAATAAGATAGATAAAATAAAAATTTGTATGTTTACTCATTAACTGTTATTCTTATATGATATGGCATGGTTACACCACTCTTTCTCTATGTTTAATCACTAAGACAATCAAATGCATGCTAAAAGGCACACTATAGGAAAAGGAGCAAGAAGAGTGAGCTTTTAAAATCTAGGACAATGTAACAGTATTTTTTTTTTATTAGTTCAAATTAGGAACAAGCTTGCTTCACATGTCAATCCCTTCTCCCTCTCCCTCCCTCTCCCCAACCCCCCACCAGCTCCCCACCCCATCCACCTCTACTCCCCAGGGAGGGTAGAGCCCTCCACAGGGGCTTCCACATCATCCTGGGCCCGGCCTAGGCCCTCCCCCATGTGTCCAGGTCTAGAGAGAGCATACCTTCACATGGGATGGACTCTCCAAGTCCCTTCTTACACCAGGGATAAATACTGATCCACTACCAGGGGTCCCATTGAGTGGTGAGGCCTCCTCATTGACATCCACATTCAGGGGTCTGGATCAGACCCATGCTGGCCTCCCAGACAGCATTCTGGGGTCCATAAGTAATATTATATACTACATAAGAAAGCTATAAATTATAATTTATTTTAGGAAAAGCCGTTTAAGATAAATATACCTTTCTACTAAACACAGTTTAACTAGTTATATATTCTTGTCTAGTGCATTAACTGTTAAGTATATTTATCCATTTTCTTGAACTGTTTTGGTGATAACTCACATATTAAATATATAGTATTTCACAGTTACGTTAATAAGTAAATGCATTCATGTCTGCCTAGATTTCAATATACTATAAAAGAATTCACCTTTAAATTCTTAATTGGCAAAGTGCTCTAAATTTTCCTTGTGATATGATCACAGGAAATAGTAAATAACAACACAACCAATTGTTTATTACAGTTTGGTACTAAGGAAGGGAGACATGATGTAATTACATTATAATTTCAAAACTAAAAAAAAAATCCCAACAATTTAGTAATTGAAATGGAAAGACAGCTATGCATGAACATTTCCTTTTATTTGATGTTTGAAGGTATCTTGTTTTTTTCTTTGTCTATTGTGAAGCCCTTCTATTTCTTATTTTTCCAACCACATACATTTTTCTGTCCTACCACTTCAAAACCGGTATAAAGTTTATTTTCAGACCAACTACCTGTTTATCAGAACATGGCCCAGAGACCATGTTCTGTCATTTATAGAGGTATAACTGGCTAAGTATAACTGTGCCTACTGTTTAGGTTCACCTGATAATTTTTAGTTGAAAGCATTTTCAATGAAGAAAGGAAAAGAGATGTTCATTTATATTTAGATGGAAAGATCTTCATGTTATCAAGTATATTTTTTAATAATGAACTAATGATCCCTCTCCTCAAACAAACAAAAAACAAAACAAAAAACAATTCATTGTAATGATACCAAGGTATAATCAAGCTATTACAGTTTAATTATAAATTAGTTTGGACTTGTACATTTTCCTTTATTTATATATAATTCCCAGAAGAAGAAAATAAGAATATTCAGAATGGTTCCAGTAGGTAAACCCAGTTTCAACTAATTCTAATAGACTTCTCTGAACTATCATATGAAAATCATAGGAAATGTTTCCTAACAAACTGGTCATTATAGTGCAAAACACAGTATGCAAAAATCAGAATCTTACTTCAATATCTTCTTCAGAAAAGTTTCAAGAACATTAATGAAGCTGATGTGTGAAAATATTGTCCCTTGCATTTTAACATACCTCTTAACATACCAAATGGATTTTCAAAACAAAAAACTGTAAACTTCAATTATTTTAATGGTTACAGGGTAATATGAAACCTTTGTAATAAAATAATAAAGAGTTTTGACATTTACAAACCTCGTTTAGACATCGTTTCTTTGTGAATATATTTCTGATAAAAGTTTCTTGAATTTCTTCCTGTTTCACCAAGTACTGCCAAAGCCTCTTCACAGACAGTGCCAGATGATTTTTGGATCTATAGGTATGGTAGATTTAATTATTTACCTCAGATATTTCTGATTAACTTGACATTTCCTTAGCACTATTAACAGTTGTTTATTATAATAAACATGACCTAGGAGAGCAGCCAAAGAGCTTTTTCATAAAGGATTATTAACTGATATTTTGGATTAGTGGACAATATGGTTCCTAGGACTTTGTTATTGTAGTGGGAAAGCAGAAAGTTGAACATCCCTAGTTTGAATGATCCAAAATCTGAAATATTTTTCTGGTTTTTTGTTTTGTTTTGTGTTTTTGGAGACAGGATCTTATCATATAACTATGGTTGGACTGGAACTCCCCAAGTAGACCTGACTGATCTCAAACTCACAAAAACATATCTACTTTTGTCTCTGCTTCCCTAGTGTTGAGATTAAAGGCATGCACTACATGCCTGGCTAAAATTTAATATTTTTAAAGTGATGATAGGACACCCAAAATGTTTTAGGTTTTAGAGCATTTTAGATTCTGTACTAGAGATACTTACTCAACCAGTAAAGTCTTATTCTCATCTGCAAATGATATTTATGGCTGAGTTAAAATGTTACTGACAAAAGCAGGAATAGAAATGGATTTCTCTTAAACCAGGGCGTGGGCTTTAACAAAAATAACCGTGTTCCCTACAAGATAAATAGAAGCAGAATTTCTTAAGCTGTTTGCTGTGGACACAGTAAGTCTATAACCTTGTTACTGGCCAAAAGTGGTTTAAGAGCTTCTACAAGAACATAAATGATGACACTAAAGAACTAAACACACTATTTCGTTAAGTAAGCATTCAGCTGAGGCAAGTCTTTCTAGATAAAGCAAGTATTGCATAAAATTACCTATCGGTCAATTGTTTTCTCTTCATGGATAGTAAAATAGTTGCAGAATAGCTATTATTATTATTATTATTATTATTATTATTATTATTGCAGAGTAGCAGTTAATATAAGTACACTCCTCAAGCCATATCTCTTCCTCAAGCCGTATCTAGCTAGTCTGTCCCATAGTTTCAAAAACTCAAGTTTACCAGCCCATAGTCAAGCATTCTTTGTTACATATTCTCTGTGTCTGCTTTCACTCCGCAATGTCACAACTAACTAGTCACGACAATGCTTCCTAAAAAGCCTATAACAGTTACTATAAAGACCTTCAAAAGAAATGCTTGATAACCTTTGAAAACCAAAAGCATATCATCTGTCTTATACCAAAGACATAGTTATGCATGTAGAAAAGAATGTTAAGCATGATAAGCATGAACACAAAGTATTTCCTTCTCTAAATGCTACCCAAGGACAACCTGATTCTGCAAAGCTTCTTAAAAACAAACAAAAACCAAAATCACCACTACCAACAAAGAACAATATCCATAGTAAAACTTACTTGAAAGGAGTGTTTGTAGGTTCTAGTAAAGCTTTGTGACGGAGTATTGCAGGACCCGCAGACACATTCTCTTCAGAAGTATGACTAGAGATATAGTTTTGAGGAGGTCCACCATGGATTTCAAGTCGTCGGAGAAGAACTTGTTCCCAACACTGAAGAGTTTTAAGAACTGCATGACAAAGAGGTGAACTAACAGGTAGTTCTAAAAGAGGAAAACACAATAGATCCATGGTTATATTCTACAGTAAAATGTTTGTGAGAAAGGAAAGGATATTAATGAAATTTAATAGGGATATGTGGGCACTGAATCTGGTATTTTGAAGATAAAATAACATAAAACCTTTACAGCTATTTTAACATTACTGCTTTGGAATTTAATTTCACATGAAAAATATGCTTGAAGATTATGAAAATGTTTATGAAAAAATTAATTGCTTTAATATTTGTAAAAGGCTGAAAGTCATTTGACATTTTTGTTTAGAAAAAGAAAATAATAAGCAAAGTTTAAAAGGTTCAGTAATCCTTACCATGAAAGGAAGCAGTACTTCATATGTAGTCCTTCATAGTCTTAGGTAGCAATTCTATCTTCAAATTTTAACTACTTTTGTCTGTCTATCCGCATCTAGTAACAGTATTGATTTTTAATTCTGAAAATTACCTACTAACGTACTATAATAGAATGCATATAAACTTTTCCTCTGTCTATTATCCCAATAGTCACAAAAATTTTTCCGTTAAGTTGGTATTTCCGTATTTACTTTAGTGTATGAATAAACACAGTTCACAGCTGAGGTATCTAACATAAGAACACGAAGAACACACTCCTTTATTTCAATATACAGACCTCTCCTACTTTGAAACTTGTCACTGTGTTTGAAGGTTTATAGGTCTAATAGTCTCTGAAAGTTCAGGGCCTTGGGTTTCTCAAGCATTTCTAGTATGATAGGAAAATTTAAAAATGGTTTATACTTCAAAGAAGTGTATCTTGCTGGGCGGTGGCAGCGCATGCCTTTAATCCCAGCATCCGGAGGCAGAGGCAGGAGGATCTCTGTGAGTTCAAGACCAGCCTGGTATACAAGAGCTAGTTCCAGGACAGTCTCCAAAGTCACAGAGAAACCCTGTCTCGAAAACACACACACACAAAAACCATCGGTTATAAGATCTGGTGCCTTCTTCTGGTGTGCAGATATACATGGAAGCAGAATGTTGTATACATAATAAATAAATAAATAAAAATTAAAAAAAGTGTATCTTTTACTATAGAAATTCATTAAACCTTTCTTTATTTAGAATATACACATAGAATAACAATTGGTATTGGTTCATATTAAGATGTTTATTACCTGAAAGATCATGACCTGCAAAGGGATAGAAAGTCTTCAAATTGCTGAGCACCAACTGGACCATAGCCAATCTCATCAATGACCAACTAAAAATAGAAGTTTCTCTGTTAAACATTTACACAGGGATCTAGAAATGATGCCACCCTTCAACACAACAATTTCCCTACAAGAAATTACCCCAAAGATAATCTGTAAGACCAAAATAATATACACATACAACTAGTTATTCATGTTAACATTTTCTTAAAACAAGTTAAAATAATGTAAATGCCTATCAGAGGCATAAATAACAATAGTTTTGAAGGATGGGATTTTAAGGTTAACTGTAAAAACGAAGTATTAATATTGCTAAAACTATAGTATGCAACAGTAATTAAAAAGCAAGCTTAGGGGTATCATATGTATATATGTGTGTTATTATCTATATAAGAAAGCAGGGGAAATAATACAGATGCATTTATTTCTGTAATCAGAAGGACATAGAAACTAATAAAAATGGCTCTTTACAAGTGCCAGGGAAAACAGCAGAAATGAGAACTCTAAGGGTTCTGACTTTATATTTTCACATAGTTCAATTTAAAATTATTTCTGCTTCTCTTTAATTTTAAATATATCATATTTATGTCTTATGGTACTGATTTTAAATCATTAACTTTGCAATTGCACACAACATAAAGCTTAGCATTTTAGCATTCTCAACAGCATGCTCACACTGTTTGGGAACCATCATCACCATCATTGCCTACAACTTTTCACAGAACAAAACTGCTAAAAAACTATGCACTTTTCTCTCTTCTAGTATCTATCAACTTGACTATCTAATGCTCTTCATAAAGTAGAACACATACTATTTTTTGTGACTGAATTATTTCTCTTTGTATAATGTCTTCAAGATCCATCCACTTTGTAACATGAATCAGAATTCCATTTCTTTGTAAAACAGACTAATTTTCTGATTATGTACATAACACATTTTGCTTATTCAGTCACCCTATAAGACAACTGTATTTCTTCTATCAACTGGCCATTATGCTGCTGTCAATTGGATGTACAAACATATGTTTGCATACTACATTTAATTCTTTTGGTATGTACCCAAAGTAGAATGACCATATTATACAATAGTTATATTTTTAAGTTTTAAAGAAACTATCATTTTTCCAAAGTGGCTGTACCATTTTACAGTTCAACAAAAAGAACACAAAGGTTCTAATTTCTCTCCATCTTAGCCAATACTGTCATTACGATATTTTTGTAGTAGCCACCCTATTGGGAGTGAGACAGTATCCCACTGTGGTTTTCATTAACATTTCCCTAATAATCAGAGTATGTTTACAGTGTTTACCAGTCATTTACATGTCTTCTTTAGAGAAACACCTACTCAAGTCCTTTGACCACTTTTCTCTGACCCTTCCTTTTTTTCTAATACTGAAGATTAAACCCAGGGCTTCACACATGTAAGACAAATGCTCAAAAGCTGACCGACATCTCCAGTTTGACCAGTTTTTAAATGGGTTGCTTTTTTAATTGTTGGATTACATAATCTGGCTTCTGAGTCATACATGTATTTATACATTTAAAAAGTAAAGCAAATTCAACAGGGGAAAAAACCCCACCAGTATGCAAAATCTCTTAATTTTTCAATCAAAAGTTACTGTCAAGAAATCTACTTTAAAAACTTTTATTAGCCCATCATGTCTTTAATAAAAAATATTGCTGCTCCAATATAAACAACATATGAATAAGACCACTCATGAATATAAAGCCAGTGAACCATTGAAACTGGTGTTGAGTACAGTGAACACTTAAGGTTTTTTTTTTTTTTCATACTTACAAAAGCTTTTAAAAGATATCTCATAGAACTAGAGCTCTACTACATAGCCATTTGATGTTCTTGGTTGAAGTCATAAGACTTATCTTATGGGCCAAAAATCAGAGCATAATATGAAAAGATTTGTGTGACATGCGATAAATTATTATGGTTTACCAAGGGATAAACAAACATTAATTGAAAAAATATTGCTAAAGAAAGGAATTTAACAGTATCAACTAAAGTATGTAATAATTCAGTAAATTATTAATTTCATATTACTTTAAAAGTATTATCTATCTATCTATATATATATATAGGCCAACATGATTTTTAAAGTGCTTAAGATACAATATTCCATACCTGAATGAATTTGAGTTAGAATGTTCCCGGAGATGGAGATCAGAAGGGAAAGTATCATCATCCTCATCATCCTCATCATCACTTTCTAGACTCTCCTCAGAATCATACTCCACTCTACTCTGGGAAGGGGGTAGAAAAGGCTGAAACAAAAATTATATATACCTTATCATCCAAATATCTGATTTGATGCATCTAAACATATAATTAATACCATTTGTGGATATTTCACTGTAAATAAAATAACTATTAATTACCATATTGTATCTTTGATATAATTTTATCTATTCACCCAGTCAACAAAAAATTTCTTAAGAATGTCCCCCAAGGCCCGGCGGTGGTGGCACACGCCTTTAATCCCAGCACTCAGGAGGCAGAGGCAGGCAGATCTCTGTGAGTTGGAGACCAGCCTGAAGAGCTAGTTCCAGGCCAGCCTCCAAAGCCACAGAGAAACCCTGTCTGGAAAAACCAAAAAAAAGAAAAGAAAAGATTTTGGTGAGTAACTACTGCAACTGAGGAACAGACACCTCACTGCAGATATCTAATAGTAACACAATTCTCCCCATCCCTCTAACAAGGTCTCACTATACAGCCCTGGCTAGAGTTTGCCTTGTGATTTTCCTACTCCAACCTCCCTCACACTAGAATCAAAGGCATTTGATTAATACAAGAAATGTTTAAAAGAATTACAGCCAATACCATCTAAGAGCTTTACATTTTTGGTGGTAAAGTTAAGCAAGCAAGTAAAAAAAAAAAAAAAACTTAAGTAAATATATTTTTTTCTTTTTTCCTTTCTCTCCATTTTTTATTTAAATTAGAAACAAGATTATTTTACATGTCAATCCCAGGTCCCTCTGCCTCCCCTCTTCCCTTCCCCCCCTCCAACTAACAACCTACCTATCCCATACCCTTTCTACTCTCCAGAGAGGGTGAGGCTTTCCATAGGGGGTCTTAAGTAAATATATTAATTGTTACAAAAAAGTACTTAGGATGGAGAAAAGTAAAAGATGACCACAGAAGGCCTAAACAAGAAGTGAAACCTAAAGGAGAAGATGTAACTAGCCTAGAAATAATTATGGGGCTAAGAAAGTCTGACTAAACAATAATCCCATATATAGAGAAAACAATTCTCCGAAAATGAAGGTCAAATAAAGATAGAAAGAGACAAATTCCCTGCATTACCTGAAGCATACAGTTTAACAGGCCAGTAGGAGAGGAACCAGAGATTATTTAGAAGTTAATTATTATAAAGCAATATGGAAAACATCCAAAAGTTGAAAATGTGAAGGATTTGGCAATTAACATAAGAAAGCAGAAGAAATAGACAGCCCCTGCTCTGCAGAATATTGCAGGACTGAAAAACTGGTCATTTGAGCAAAAATTCTAAAAAGAAAAATGGTAATAACTAGGAAGAAAAATAGGAAGGCTATATGACTTTTAAAGGTAACTGTCAAATGATAAACCAGTTGAGAAAAATGAGCTATGCTACATTAATGCATTCTAAGTATCAGTAGGTTCTAAAAGTAAAATGTGTAACCTTACTCACTCATTAGGATCCATGATTGAAATATTAAGCATGAAGATAAAGCTTTTCATGAAACTGTTTTCTTTCAGCTTAAAAAAAAAATCTTGTATGTATATCTATGTGGGTATACATGTGTGGAGGCAAGGTCACTGTTTCCTGTCTTACTCATCACTTTCCACCTTAGTTTTTGAGACAGGGGCTCTCACTGAAACCTCAAAGTCTGTCCCCAGTAACATACTTCCTACAACAAGGCCACATGAACTTCTCCTTTTCAAACAGTGTCATTCCCTAAGAACTATGGGAACCATTTTCATTCAAGTCATCATAAGCAGTATGCATTCTTATCCACTGAACCATCTCTCTAGTCTCTCACATGTTTTACTGGAGCCACTGCAAATTTCTTCAGCTGTTTCTCACTTACT